CAACTCGCTCACTGGGACTTCCTGACGATATCCAGTCAGATGACTACATGCCCCAACGAGATCCAGTCGCTACTATTACGTCGCTGCAGAAGAAGCAGCAAGCTGCACTGGACACGTTCTGGAAGTTGTGGAGAGATGACTATATCCTTGCACTTCGCAGCCGACAGCCAATCAACCATCGTCTCAGGAGGAGCCGAACCACTGATCCCAAGATTGGCGACATGGTCATGATCAAGAACGACCAGCTACCACGTGGAATGTGGAAGATGGGAAAAATCAGAGAACTGCATGACAGCGCGCAGGACGGCAAGACTCGTTCGGCGACAGTACAGACGACCAACTCTATCCTGAACCGACCGATCAACCACCTCTACCCGCTAGAAGTGACCGCAACGGAGGAGAAGGAGAACACTGATGTCATCGACAACGGCAGCACTGATGTTGCTAGCAGCAGGCCTCAGCGCATGGCCGCCCAGAAGGCAAAGGAAAGGCTCAATGCACAAATGCAGGCTGAGCTGGTGTCTGTAGCTTTCACCTTTGTTTCTACATATGTATGTATGTAGACAGTATCTATTCCATTGTCTTTTAATATTCAATGTCACAGTAAAATAGTTTGTTTCTTTTGTTCCTCGGGAGTGTCATGACTGCGCAGTCATGAACTTACTATTTCCCACGTCGTGCATTATTGTACACATTTCGCGTATGCATGCTTTGACCCCTACTATCTCTTACACTTAGTTACAGCCATATCTGTTGTAAGTTCAAACGGGAGTTCAAACTCTCGCTCCTTTTGGACGCCTTACGTCATAATCGTTTACCGTGTTTTTAGAGCGGAGAACAGTTTTTCTTCTTGGTCTAGTTTTCTGGTTTTTTGGTATGGAAGTTGTGTCCGGTTAGACCTTCTTCTCGTTACAGTGTTTTCGATAAATAGCACTTGATATGATGAGTTTTTGATGTTCTCACGACGGAGACGAGGGACTGTGATCACAGCCACCGTTGAACTGCCCTGGAGTGCAGTAGTAATAGTATTTTAGACCCCCTTATTTTCCCTCGTTTATGTCCGTTCGTGACAGAGAGAGTCTAGGTAGGGTGTGGATCAGCAATAGGTGTTGGTGTATGTGGTGGGTAGAATTGGCAAGAGGTGTGTGTGTGTGTGTGTGTGTGTGTGTGTGTGTGTGTGTGTGTGTGTGTGTGTGCGTGCGAAAAAGAGTAAGGTAGTGAGTATTGGTATGCGTGGAAGGAAGATGTGACAGAAGGTGTGCGCTATAGGCAAGGGGTGCAGGAATATTCTGAGGTGGTGGGTGGGACTAAAACAGGAGGTTGTGATTCATCTAGTGATATAATTATATAATATCAGCAATAGCAGCAGTATATACAAAGAGGTGTGTGTGTGTGTATGCGTGTGCGTTTGCAAGCTTTTGGTAGTGTAGTGTGTTGGGGGGGGGGAGAGAGCACCGGGTGCGGGTGTTCTTCTTCTATTGCGATCATTTTTGGATGGGTTGGCAGATAGTGGATGGTGGTAGGCAAGTTATGCCAAGAATCCAGTTCCCATATCTTCTTTTCTTCTGTTGATAGTTGGTTTCTTGTCGCGAATGGCATATGCCTCACGGATCTGGAGCCTCAGCTCATCCCTCTCCGTGAGCTGAGCAATCTCGTACATAATCTCTGGGGTGGCGTTCGGGTGTTCCCTAGCGTAGTGCACACCGAATGCAGACTTCTTGTCATGAGATTTTGCAGCATTTGTGTGCTCTTGGGCCCGGGTGTGCACTTGCCTCCCAGTAGAGCCGACGTATCTCTCGTGACAAAGGTGGCATGTAGCTTCGTACACGGCAAATCTGCAGGTGCATTTCTTCCTGAACATAGGGCATTCGCGCATTCTGCATTTTTCCGGTTCTCCTTTTTTCTTCGTGAGTTCTTGGATGGTTGGGGGTCGAGGGTTAACGAGGCGTGCCGTTATGCCGTTTTTCTTAAGTGCCTGTCGTACTTGGCCGTTAACCTTGTCGGAGATGTACGGTATTCTAAATACCAGTTGTTTCCCTTTTGTTTGTTTACTTGTGTTTCTTCTTCGGGCACCCTGCGCAAGAACGCAACGGTTCTACGCACTGCCGAAAACACACAAGAAATCTCTCAAGATTCGCCCAATCGTCTCGGGATCAGGCGGCATTTTCGAAAGACTCGGTTGGATCCTCCATTTCATCTTCAAGCCATTGCTGCTTAACGTGAGCGCCCACATCAGCAGCACGCGGGACCTAATAGCCCAATTTACGAGCAACGAAAACAAACTGAAGAAGAAAATCCCCATCTCATTCGACGTGATCTCGCTGTACACAAACATTGGCATTGAAGAAGGAATCAGCACCGTCCTCGAATACGCGAACCGCTTCAAAATCAATACCTACTCCCTCACACCGGTCGACCTAAAAGAGCTACTCGGGCTGATTCTATATAACAACGTGTTCCAACACCCAACCCTTGGAACATTCAAACAGACAAGGGGATTGGCGATGGGCAGCAGACTCAGCGGCACAATAGCTATCATCGTCATGGACCGCTTTGAACAGCGCCACATTTACAGAAACATCTCGCCGCCATTGCCAGTGTTCGTTCGCTATGTAGACGACTCGGGAACCGCAGTTGACACTCCTGCGGAAGCACAATCTCTACTGACCAAACTCAACGGAAAACACCCGACAATCAAGTTTGAACTGGAGTTGCCGGACAAAGATGGTTTCCTACCAATCCTGGATATCAGACTAAAGATTCTTCCTGACGGCAAAGTCACACACAAGCTCTACGTAAAAGAAGCAAACAAAGGGATAACACTACACGCAGATTCCCACCATCCAACGGCGGTTAAGATGGCGGTCATTAACAATGAATACAAACGAGCACAAGACAACAGCACGCCTGAGTTTGCGGAGGAAGCCAGACGCCTCATCTCAGATAAACTTGCAGGGAACGGCTATTCTGCAGAACACATCATCAAAGTGCGAGCCCGAAGAAGAAACACAAGTAAACAAACAAAAGGGAAACAACTGGTATTTAGAATACCGTACATCTCCGACAAGGTTAACGGCCAAGTACGACAGGCACTTAAGAAAAACGGCATAACGGCACGCCTCGTTAACCCTCGACCCCCAACCATCCAAGAACTCACGAAGAAAAAAGGAGAACCGGAAAAATGCAGAATGCGCGAATGCCCTATGTTCAGGAAGAAATGCACCTGCAGATTTGCCGTGTACGAAGCTACATGCCACCTTTGTCACGAGAGATACGTCGGCTCTACTGGGAGGCAAGTGCACACCCGGGCCCAAGAGCACACAAATGCTGCAAAATCTCATGACAAGAAGTCTGCATTCGGTGTGCACTACGCTAGGGAACACCCGAACGCCACCCCAGAGATTATGTACGAGATTGCTCAGCTCACGGAGAGGGATGAGCTGAGGCTCCGGATCCGTGAGGCATATGCCATTCGCGACAAGAAACCAACTATCAACAGAAGAAAAGAAGATATGGGAACTGGATTCTTGGCATAACTTGCCTACCACCATCCACTATCTGCCAACCCATCCAAAAATGATCGCAATAGAAGAAGAACACCCGCACCCGGTGCTCTCTCTCCCCCCCCCCCCCCCCCCCCCCCCCAACACACTACACTACCAAAAGCTTGCAAACGCACACGCATACACACACACACAACTCTTTGTATATACTGCTGCTATTGCTGATATTATATATATCACTAGATGAATCACAACCTCCTGTTTTAGTCCCACCCACCACCTCAGAATATTCCTGCACCCCTTGCCTATAGCGCACACCTTCTGTCACATCTTCCTTCCACGCATACCAATACTCACTACCTTACTCTTTTTCGCACGCACACACACACACACACACACACACACACACACCTCTTGCCAATTCTACCCACCACATACACCAACACCTATTGCTGATCCACACCCTACCTAGACTCTCTCCCACATTTATCAACCCGACACTTCCATTACGCCACTCCACCTTCTACGCACACCAACACCTTCTACCAACCTACACTTCTACCCGAAGGGTGTACCCCTTCCCACCTGTATCGACCCGCACCTAACCTTCACCATTAACTTAGATACATGTATTTCCCACCTTCACCTTCTCACCTCACCTCATCTCACCACCATCACTCCCTATTAACCCGTGCCACCACCCAAAGCCCTCCATTCTTTATCCACTGACGATGTTGTTCAGAACAACGAAACGTCTGGAGAAGTATCGTAAAAAATTTCTATCGTTAAAAAAATTAAATGTTATCAAATATACCACTCTTTGGTCTAGAAAGAATACTTTTTGATATTACAAATGTGAGTGCGGTTGTGCATATCCTACACATGGGTGGCTGTGCTAGCATCAGCTGTTTACCCAGTGTGCTGAGTTCCTGTAAATGATATGCACTTGCAACTTGCTTCACTCAATCAGTCGGTCAGGCTGCGAGAGATCCCGATCAATTTATTTATTCTGTACGAGTTCACTGGTACTACGTTGTCATTATCCTGGTCATGTTAGTAAAGCTGTGTTCACAACTGGCGCGTGTACGCGTGAAACCACGCGTTTGTGCGTATATTGCTGGCTTTTGGGGCGCCATGCGTACGGAAACGTGCTGAAATGGAATTCAACATGTTGGAATTTTCAGCGCGTATCAGGCGCGTACCATACATGCCAGTCACTTTGACTGGTGGGGTCAACAAATTAGTACTCGAAGGCGTCGCACGCCCTAAATACGAGTCGAATTGCTGTTTTTTTGTGAAAGCCTGAGCACGCGTTTGGGCACGCATGAACCGCAAGCGTACCGCGTCCACTCGCCAGTTGTGAACACAGCTTAATGTACTGTAATGTGTGTGGTGTTCTCTGTCATTGTTGGCCATGTTGTTCTCTGTCATTGTTGGCCATGTTCTCTGTCATTGTTGTCCATGTTGTTCTCTGTCATTGTTGTCCATGTTGCTTAGTTTGTTGGCCACCACGTCGGCAGACAGCAGTATCAAGATTTGGAACACGGCCGACTGGTCTCTGCGTCAGACCCTGACTGCGGAGAGTCAACGCTGGGTGTGGGACGCTCAGTTCTCTGCTGATTCAAACTACATTGTCACCGGTAAGTGTACTAATATTACAACTACTAGCACGCTGTCCCCGGTAAGTGTAGTTATGTTACAACTAGGGCTCAAACGGTCACGGTTTTACCCCTGACGGTTAACTGCTAAGCTAACGGTCGGTTAACCGGTTATAACCTATAAGCCACGGCAATCCTGCGGACTCTTTTTTAACCGTATATTTGACTATACTCATTCAAAAAATGTACCCTATTCAGTACAACGCAAACTCGTACATTCTCTTGCATGCTCATTCATACATACTCTCACACCAAGAGACCAGATAATGAGATATGACCGAGTTGACAGCCCAGAAATTGCGTACGCGTGCGACAGCCCGTGAAAGTGCACACTTTGCAACGACCTGATACTTGAAAAATTCGATGAAAAGTTACTGCGTAACCGTTATCTTTATCGGTTAACCGTTAATTCTTCGTAACCGGTCTGCAACCGGTTAATCGGACTAATCGTTTGAGCCCTAGTTACAACTACATTGTCACGCGTAACAAGAGTAAATACGCTGAGCGGAAACATCAGTTGAAATGTATACTAAAAAAAGAGAGGACCATAAGTTTACAAGTTATCCGTTTTGTCCAACACTAACGATTATAAGCAGGATACTGTTTAGTCAAAATGTGCAACAATTAGCACCAAACTGACTGATGTGATACTGACATTCAACGACCTGATAATTTGTAAACTTATGGTCCTCTCTTTTTTTTACTTTTAATCCTTGGCTCTCCATCCGAGTTGAAGTGTATTTTCATTATACTTAGTCCACGGTCCTGTATGGCTGCCATGTTCCCAAGGTTCAACACTCATGCAAACATTAGTCCACGGTCCTGTCTTTCTGCCATGTTCCCAAGGTTCAACACTCATGCAAACATTAGTCCACGGTCCTGTATGGCTGGCATGTTCCCAAGGTTCAACACTCATGCAAACATTAGTCCACGGTCCTGTCTTTCTGGCATGTTCCCAAGGTTCAACACTCATGCAAACATTGGCAGTCGTTGGCTGATTGGATTGGCTACTCTTTACCTTGCATGGTTTTGTCTTGGTTGGCTTTTCCACTGCGAGTACATTCATTGTCATACATTCATTGTCAACAGCTTGACTGGCTTTGTTCTGTGGTATGGCTCCGACTTTGCCACATGCTCTACTTGCCATACTGTTGCAGAAGTCACATTGAACGTGTTTGACTGGGTTACATATAATTATGTTGTTTATGGGTGTGTGTGTGTGTGTGTCTGTCTGTCTGTCTGTATGTCAATGTGTGCATGTATGTGTGTTTCCTTTTGTGTGTACAGCATCATCGGATGGCAACGGTCGCCTGTGGTGTGTGGACGACGGGGATGTGCGCCGCACATACAGTGGTCACCAGAAGGCCATCGTGTGTCTGGCATTCCACGACAAATCCCCCGGCTCATAATGCTACAGGCTATTAGTACTTGTTGCCGCTGCTGGGTAGCTGCAATATGGTAGCTACATGGTTGGAGACAACGTCGTGGCATGTGTGCTTGCTATCATCTCGCCTGCTCCCTGGGTAAGGAGATTTATGTCAACTTTGCGCAGCACCGTGCACGGACTGAGCATGCACGGCGCGCTGTTTCTAGCTGGCCTGTGCAGCTGCTTACAGCGTTGTGGACACTACCGCTGCTGAAACTTCTACTGGTAGATAGCCCTTTCCTCTGTGCGTTGTTCAACCTGTTTCTGCAATGGATCTTGCGTTTTGCTGTTGATAATACGTCACTCAAGCCCTTTTTTCCCCTTTTTTGATGATACGTGCTTTCTTCTCTTTGCTCGACATCCCTCTTGATTAGGGTTTTTTTCATGAGCAGTGCTGCCTATATCAGCTTGCTCTAGCTGGCTAGCTTTTTTGCAGAATTACTTTAGCGTGCTGTGCACTCTGTGTGTGTGTGTGTGTGTGTGTGTGTGTGTGTGTGTGTGTGTGTGTGTGTGTGTGTGCGTGTGTGTGCCTGTGTGTGTGTGTGTGTGCCTGTGTGTGTGTGTGTGTGTGTGTGTGTGTGTGAGAGAGAGAGAGAGAGAGAGAGAGAGAGAGAGAGAGAGAGAGAGAGAGAGAGAGAGAGAGAGAGAGAGAGAGAGAGAGAGAGAGAGAGAGAGAGAGAGAGAGAGAGAGAGAGAGAGAGAGAGAGAGAGAGAGAGAGAGAGAGAGAGAGAGAGAGAGAGAGAGAGAGAGAGGTTGTATGTGCGCACAGGTGCGTGCACCTGCATTTCAAATGTCCTATTGCATTCATTACTCTCAGCTTGATTTGGTTGCTATTCCTAACTAACCCCCCACCCCCACCCCTTCTCATCCTCTTTTAGTTGGCTTTATGGGTTGCGGGCTGCCAATAGCCATGTTGAGGTAGACATGATTTTCAAATTTTATTCTGCGTAAGTTTGTGCGGTCATGTGCATGTAGCGAAAGCAGATAGCGAAAGCAGATCTGTTTTCTTTTTCTTTTGTTGTTGTTGTGGTCGTTGTTGATGTTGTTGTGGTCGTCGTTGTTGTTGTTGTTGTTGTTGTTGTTGTGGTGGTCGTTGTTGTTGTTGTTGTTGTTGTTGTTGTTGTTGTTGTTGTTTCAGTCGTTTTGATCGCTGCCGCTGACTATTGGCAGTATTGCAATTGCTGTCTTGGCTAGTTTGAGTCCTCGTTGAGCATACTGCATTCATTGTATTGTTCACTTCTGTGTTATTTTATTTTCACCAGTCTTTTTGCACATTAACACCTTTGTTTGGTATGCGTTCTCACGGAGACGCTACCGGAATATGTTGAGCGAGTCAATGTCGAGTGCTTCTTGCGTATGCTACTACTGGTGTGTGTACGTGTATGCGTGAGCGTGTGTGCGTGCGTGCCGTCCGCTTTGCATCGTGCATGGGCGAAGCCATGGCGACTGGGGGCGTGCATGATCATAGCCACTGCGGGCAGACCGTCTATATGAGCAGTGCATCTGAAAGGGTGGATGGTGGGGCTTGCAGGAGAACCAACAGAGGAGCAGCATAACCTGGGTCTAGAAATAACCTCTGCTGCTCAGCACAAGAAAATGGAGTAAAAAAAGAAAAGAAGAGGTTCTATTTCTCTGATGCAATCAGCACCTCATATCACAGGCATCAACACAATACATACATGTAATGGATGACTGAGCTAGAGGTGAATGAACTGAATGCGAAGGTGATGACCTATTACAATAATCATCACATGGACACAAAAATTTACAATACTCTCACAATGCATGCAATTTCAATCATATGCCTTTAATTTTTGTATAGTTCTTTTCTCTCTTTTTCCACACAAGTCAACCCATTAATTTTTACACAACCTGAAAGACTGGGATTTGTACTCACCATCACCTGTTTACATGTTCCTGGACTCGAACCACTCGGCCATTGTACTCACTACTTGAAACTGCTTACTCCCAGCATGCTAATAAAGTGTTCGGGGTGGGGGGGGGGGGGGGGGGGGAGTGATCCTAGATAGGCGCACACCAAACAGTTGCACATACCCGTGCAGACACAGTCTTTCTGTGCATGGATATACCCCGGATGGTGATTGTCCTTCAGAGACATTTGCATTCTGTTATGTATCTAACTGCATACATGCACGCAGGTAGCTACTTTGCAGACCAGCAGAACACACATAATAGTATACACATACACATGTGCCGATGAAAGAAGAAGGAAGACACACTCACGCAAAGACACTTCACACATGTGCCGATGAAAGAAGAAGGAAGACACACTCACGCAAAGACACTTCACACATGCGCGCCCCCGCATGCGAACACACACACGCACACTCGCACCCCCCCCCCCACACACACACGCACACCGCTCTCAGTACATCACTCAGTACAATGCAACTAGGGAAGGATTAGAGTTAATGCCTGGCAATTAAAATCGTAAAGGCTCATGCAGCCACACACAAATATTGAAAGCAGAAGGGGAGGGATGGGGGGCTGCAACAGGGGATTTGAGAAAGGACCACTTATAATTATAGAATTGGTATGAGTGAAAACAAACAGAAGCAGCAGCAAGTAGTTGCAAACACGCAGCAATTGCATACACACATAAAAATGCCTTTCGCATGCGCTGGGGAAATTCTAAAAAATAGAACACTCTAACGTTTGGTAAAGCGTAAAAATCGAATAACCAAAAGTGGGAAACATGCAATCAAACTATACGTAGGAGTGCATGCGATAGCTGCACGGCTCGAGAAGACGGTGATGTCATTATCATGAAGCCCAAAGAGAAGAATGGGAAAAAGGCCAGGATGCGTGCACACAGATTGCATACAGAATACATGTTGTGGCAAATAGTACACGGCCATTGCAAACTCTGCGTGCATGGGTTGTGTGAGAGGAGAGAGAGTTTACCATGCAAGGCTGCTACATGAGGCTGAGACATCGAGTGACTGCCGGGAAAGCCAATACAAATAATATATAATCTTTTCGTGACCGTGGAAACACGGCAATGCCAAAATGGATGGTTTACAAAATGCCTGCAGCTACCTGCAAGCCATAATTACTTCGAAGTATAATCTTTGACAAACGGGACACATGATACGGTTTTGTGTGTGAAGGGAGGGGGGGGGGCATCATCTCTCCAAACGCATCTGACTTGGCATAGCAATATTCATATTGGAAAAGGAACGCGGTGGAACTCGACTACGAATCACGCCCAGGGAACACCAGCCAGTAGAACATAGGCATAGAAGCTAGAGCAATATTGGGTACTGGGTACCCATGCAACCAGCTAAGTGGGTACATGTCTGTAGACAAACAAACTATGCTGCAGTGTGACCGACCCAGCTAGAGCCAGCTCGTTTACAGCTCTACAGTTATTGGGGGTACTTGTGGACAGCAGGGACTGGGAAGGTTGCCCTTGGGCGAGGGCCATTAGACCCATGGTTCCCAACCCCCGTAGGTGCGACCCAGAATGTTGGGGTCAGTGGCCTGGTCGATGAGACACTCCACTTGCTCTTCAACAGAATGACAGCTCTCACCGACGCGTGCACGGATGTTGAACCTGAAGTCGCCGAGAACGATCGCCTCCAGATGACGGTACTCTGGAGACTTGCCATGACCAAGTTTCAGATCATCTCTGCATGTTTGCATGAACACATACACATGCACACCCACACACACACATGAACACACATACATGGACACACAGACACAGACCCCCCCCACACACACATGGACACACACACACACACACACACACACACACACACACACACACACACACACACACACACACACACACACACACACACACACACACACACACACACACACACACACACACACACATGAACACACACAAAGATACAGAATAGATATTGAAATAAACAAACCATGCTTATATGCAGGAACACAATGCATACCCAGGGGCGTCGCACACGGTACGGTCGCTACGGTTTTGACCGTACCACTTTTTGCCCCAGGTACCCCGTGAATCAATAAATACACTGATCTGGGCTCTAAATTCCAAAATTTTCGGCTCAGCCACCACTCCCCCACGAGTAATTTGTACTTCGGACGGCTGACCGTAGCACACTAAAATACCTTCCGACGTTGCCCCTGATCCTATATGAGTACTTGTGTGATTACACTTATAGTGATCCAGGGGATGTTTTCTTCAACCCCAACCCAATGACGGGCACTACTCATGAGAGAGCTATGCTCAAGAGAAGCTTCTATATTTTATCCGCGTCGATAAAAGGGTACCATTTTTTTTCTTCTCGTTGCAAAGGCAACATTGTAGAGCTTCGGGTCTTCTTGCTGATACGCTTGTGTCACTCTTCGCCACAAACACCCGCCATTGACACTACCACAAACACAGTTTTGATTATCAATGTGTGCCGCAAGTTTGTGAAACAAGCAAATTCTGGCTGTACATATCTCACTCAGCTATCCCACCGGCACACACCATTATACAGCCATATACAGCCATGTACAGCCATGTGCAGCCATGTACGGCCATGTAGAGTACAATAAGCAGGACACGTTCATCTGTTGCACAGCCATTCCATTCGGGTTAGAAGCTGCAAAACAGTTGAAAACGTCGCCATTCAGGTTGAATCCGGCAACAGAACAGGTAGCTAGTCCAAATATCAATTATCAAACTCTATCAATCATGTATTCCTTTCGTTGTCAAGATCGATTACTCAAATGATCATATACATAATAATCGTTTCAGCGCTAGTTTCTTCCACTAGACATGTGCATGAAGCCCTGAAGCCCAACAGAGAGTTGTTAGCAATCCCATACCGAGTGATGTAGGCTGGATGACACCGTTCAGCTTACGACGTGCCTGTCGGATCTTCTGCAACGGGTACCAGGTGGCGTCCAGGGAATCTAGAAACATGACAATACACATGGACACACACAGACACACATGGACATACATGGACACATACACGTCGACACACATGGACATTCATATGGACACACATCACACGTGGACATACACATGGACACATATGGACACACACGGACACGTATGGACACATACAGACTCACATGGGCACACACACACGTGGACACACATGGACACAGACACGCACCGCCACACAGACGCAAGCACGTGCACAGGATACGGTGAGTGTCTGCATGAACGTATCACACTTCTGCATCCTATTTTTTTTAACACAACACACAACTACGCCTACATTGGGCCACTGTCACTCACATGATCAGTTAGTTGACACACTCTGTACAGTCCATAATTCATCCAAAATAGTTCCGATTGCGTCTGAAAGTCTGATTTCGGCCAAATTGAGGCTCAAAAACCCGCTTCAAAATAGAAAGATCTGGAATTTGGACCGCTTCTCAACATGTTTTTGCTGTGGCATGTTGCTCTGTACGTACCTGAGTCAAGACCTTGATCTTTAGCTTGACGACGTGCAAAGTTCTGCAGAGAGGAGAGAGAGAGAGAGAGGGAGGAGAGAGAGAGAGAGAGAGAGAGAGAGAGAGAGAGAGAGAGAGGGAGAGAGAGAGAGAGAGAGAGAGAGGGAGAGAGAGAGAGAGAGGGAGGGAGGGGAGAGAGAGAGAGGGGAGAGAGAGAGAGGGGGGGGGGAGAGAGAGAGAGGGGGGGGGGAGAGAGAGGGGGGGGGGGAGAGAGATAGAGAGATAGAGAGAGAGAGGGAGGGAGAAGGAGAGAGAGAGATAGAGATAGATAGATACATAGAGAAAGAACACCAGAAAGAGGGCATATTCAGAGGTGGAAATATGGCAACGGTATCTATGACAACGAGTATCCATTCTCCTCTCACAGCGTTCTGTTTGAGGAGGAGAAATGGTGGTTAAAACAGACCTGCCGAAATGGCATTTTACATGCCTGCCCACACAACACTCTCTCAGCTGCAAAGTTCCGGAAAAGAGCGCTCCTTGTGTTTGAAAGTATTTCGAAGTATAAAAAAAGGTACGGCAGGCTTGGACTCTCTGTGAATGACGTTCTTGGTTGACCAGTGTGGTGGTGGTGGTGACTGTGATAGCTACAACGCCAGCAGCAACACCACCATCAACAGCGACAGCCTCAGCAGCAGCCTCAGCGGCGGCGGCAGCAGCAGCCTCAGCGGCGGCGGCAGCAGCAGCAGCCTCAGCAGCAGCAGCACCAACGCTACCATCAGCAGCGACAGCCTCAGCAGCAGCAGCAACAGCAGCAGCAGGAGCAGCAGCAGGAGCAGCAGCAGCAGCAGCAAGAGCAGTAGTAGCAGCAGGAGCAGCAGCAGCAGCCTCAGCAGCAGCCTCAGCAGCAGCAGGAGCAGCAGTAGCAGCAGGAGCAGCAGCAGCAGCAGCAGCAGCAGCCTCAGCAGCAGCAGCAGCACAAGACAACACACTGTGCAAAGATAGCAGTCATGCATCATCACGTATACACACCCACCCACCTTCCAGTCCAGTGATGGTTCCTTGACAAACACATCCATGGTACTCAGCAACAGGCTGGGTTGATTGCGCAACGCACGCATAGCATAGATCATAGTGCTACGCAGCAAGCCACCATGAGCAATAGTTGCACTGGCATCATCCCCACCAGCAGCAGCAGCCGGACCAGAACTTGCACTTGTGATCTCCTTCAGGGGCAGCATCAGGTTGGCAAACTGCTGCGTCAGACGGAACGGCATCAGCTCAGGCAGCGGTAGGAACTGCGTGGCCGAGGCGAAGGCATGACCGAAATCGATACCGATCATACCACCAGTACTGAGGGTGTCCAGCATGAAGTTGGAAAGGTGACGATCACCAATCCCCAACACATACTGACACACGTTGATCGTGCCCAGCGTACGGGCAAAGTTCTCGCGCAGCAGCAGAAACGACTCGGCACTGGATGACATGTCCACGTACGCACGCCTATGAGAACAACATGCAACAGCACACACCGCGCAACACAAACAACACACAAACATCAGACAACACAAACACCACACAAACATCACACACCAGACAACACACAAACACCACACAACACGCAACACCATGCAAGAACCACACAACTCCACGCAAAAACACCACACAACACAAACAGCACACAACACAAGCAGACAGTGTCAGGACTGGCTATTAGCCTGTGTAGAGCATGCAGATTCTTCAACCTTGTACCTGTTGCATTGTAGTCTAGTGCCTGTGTCACTGTAGCTTGGTGTGTTAAAACCTGTACAGTAATAGGACTAGTATCCTTTGCATGTGAAGTTCGAACCTACCTTTTTCAGAAGCTTTCCTTTTTTCTTTACTTTCTTCCAATACATGTCTTCTGATTGGCCGAATCTGTGCCATCTCTCTATCTCCTGATTGGTCTAAACCGTTGCTCGTTGTTATGTGAAACCTGAACTCTCTTAGTCTTGGCACATATAAAAAGCTCTGTCTCTGAAGAAAGATCATCCTTCATTTCTTCAACCACTTCTCCTTGCTCTGGTGAGACTTGTTGGTTGTTGTGTGCCCAACCACTTGGGCCACGCTACAACTGGTGGCAGCGGTGGATGTTTCGGTTTTTTTCATGCTATGTTTTTGTTGTTGTGACAATGTGAAGTGATTCCTGGTTCGGAATGGCCCAAGCGCAGCCTAACCAGCAAGTACCGCCGGCCCAGCCGCCCCGTCCGGCCCAGCCTGCTCAGCCAGCCCAGCCAGCCCAGCCAGCCCAGCCAGTTCAGCCAGCTCAGCCAGCCCAGCCAGTTCAGCCAGCCCAGCCAGCACAGCCAGTTCAGCCCGCCCAGCCAGTGCAGCCAGCCCAGCCAGTTCAGCCCGCCCAGCCAGTTCAGCCCGCCCAGCCAGTTCAGCCCGCCCAGCCAGCTCCCGTTCGACCCATCCGGCCATGGGCAACTCTGGAACGTTTTGATGGTGGAGCAGCCTCGGACTGGACTACTTGGCGTGACCACTTCACTCAAGTTTGCCTGGTTAATCAGTGGACGCCGCAGGACCAGGCACAGTACATCCCGTTGTACTTGATAGATAATGCGCAGTGCTACTACCAGTCGCTTCCTGTCGCGACACGCCAGGATGTTCAGCAATTACTGGTAGCTCTGGAGGGTCGGTTTGCTCCACCCGTCAGGACCGACCTCCACAGAGCGGAATTGAAGGCCAGACGACAGCGAGGTGAGGAGGCGTTGTCTGATTACTGCGAGGTGATTCGCCGATTGTCTCGCAGAGCGTACCCTACCTTGCCAAACCTCGTGCAGGACCAGCTGGCATGTGACCAATTCATTGAAGGTCTGGACAGCAGAGAGTTGCGCATGGAGGTACGTCGCCAAGACCCCCGAACTCTTGACCAGGCACTGCAGCAAGGACTTCGAGCACTTGCCATACTCCAAGCGGACGCTACTACTAGTGCGTCTCAGCCAGTGGCCGCGGCTGTCTGTGCTGCCAGGGAAGATCGTTTGGATGCCTTATTAGTAAGGATGGAACGATTGGAAACCGCTCTGTCATCTTTGCAGCGACCGCAGCAGCAGCCCCAGCAGCAACCCCAACAACAGCGCCGCTGTTACCATTGTGGGAGTGCCGAACATCTGATTGCGTACTGCCCGACTGCACCTCCACCCCGGGGACAACGTCAGCGCCCTTCGGGAAACGGCCGGGAGTTGGCATAGAGGGTCCAGAGTCAGCTCCAAACCACCATGGCCCGGAAGTGCTGCCCGCCGCGCCTTCCGATGTAGTATGCCATTCCGTTGCTGTTGACAGTTGCCAGTATGTTATCGGCAAAGTAAGTTCAATATGCATAACTGATGTCCACATGTTAGTTGATTCTGGAAGTTCGATTTCGTTTGTCAGCTCAGCATTCTATCAACAACATAAGCATATAAAATTAAACAAAATTTCTACATCAGTCCGAAGTGTTGATGGCAGTGGCGTGACTGTGGAAGGAGCGGTGGATGTGCAGCTAGAGTTTGGCAGCCTCCAACTTCAGCACACTATGGTAGTTGCAAACATTGAGCCTGACGTACTATTAGGCATAGACTTCCTCCGTAGGCACGGTTGTATTATGGATCTGGGACAAGGCTGTCTGCGCTTGAGCAATCAGACCCTTCCATTAACACAGGGAGTTGGGCCCAAGCACCTTTCATGTCAGAGAGTGGAAACAGACCCCATTCCAGTGCAATTGGCTGAATCTGTTGTTCTACAGGGCTATTCTCAGTTGATAACGCAAGGTAGATTACGTGACACAGAGTTTATGTCTCCATCTTGCGGAATGGTAGAGCCAACAGAGTCGTTCGTAGATAAATTTTGTGTCAGTGCAGCTAGAGTGGTCACGACCGTGAGTGAGAACAGTACTGTTCCTGTCAGGTTGCAGAACCTGCTACCACGGCCTGTCACTATAAACAAGGGTACAGTTGTTGGCATGTTCGAATCTTGCTTTGTTGAGAAAGCCGCAGAAGCCGCGGATGAGCGTGATTGTACTGCTGAAAGCTGTAATGCTGCTGATATGTGTTCTGACCCTGTTGAGTTGTTTGACCTTAGTCATCTCGATACAGAAGAGGCAGCAGCCGTCAGGTCTCTTCTCTCGGAGTTCAGCGACATAATTTCAACGGGAGCAATGGATCTTGGCTCTACCGGTGTTGCCAAACACGACATCGAGACCACTAGCAGCCAGCCTATTCGCCAAGCCCCTAGACGATTGCCGCTTCACCATGCCAATGAGGTTCGTGAACATGTTGAGCAGCTTTTAGCTGAGGGTTTAGTCGATCCTTCCAACAGTCCTTGGGCAGCCCCTATTGTTGTTGTTCGAAAGCCTGATGGAGCTATTAGACTATGTGTGGATTATCGCAAACTCAATGCTGTAACTGTCAGAGACGCATTCCCCATTCCGCGGATTGATGATGCGATAGACAACATGGGTGACGCACAGTATTTCACAACCCTAGATCTTGCATCCGGTTACTGGCAGGTAGAGCTAACTAATGCAGCAAGGGCGAAATCAGCATTTGTCACTCCATTTGGATTGTTTGAATGGAAAGTCATGCCATTTGGGTTGTGCAATGCCCCAGCAACTTTCCAGCGCCTGATGACCATGGTTCTGGGTGATCTTGTGCCAAGCGTATGTTCAGCGTACATAGATGACACCATAACTTTCTCGAAAACATTTCAAGAACATCTGGTTAGACTGCGCCTAGTGTTTGAAAAATTCCGGGCAGCAGGTTTGAAGGTCAAGCCTCGTAAGTGCCAGATTCTGAGCAAGTCGGTTACGTATCTTGGGCATGTGTTCAAGGGAGGTGGTGTGAGCCCTGATCCCAAGAATTGCAGTTCGGTCACCAGTCTCAAACCACTTAGCTCTGCAACCGAGGTTCGTCGATTTGTAGGTTTTGCTTCCTACTACAGGCGGTTCGTCAAGGACTTCGCGACAATTGCAGCACCGCTACACAAGCTAATGCAGAAACAGGCAAGCTTTTCGTGGACGGATGAGTGTCAGCAAGCGTTCGATATCCTGAAGCAGAAGCTCACGTCATTCCCTGTCCTGACGTACCCGGATCCATCCCGCAAGTTTATCCTGGACACGGATGCTTCTGACACTGGTATTGGTGCAACTCTATCGCAGGTTGACGATCAGGGCAGAGAGCAGGTAATTGCGTATGCTAGTAGTTCACTTAGTAAGAGCCAACGTCGCTACGGCACAACTCGGCGTGAGATGTATGCAGTGGTCTTCTTTGTGCAATACTTCAAACATTATTTGCTGGGTGCAAACTTTACCTTGCGAACCGATCACAAAGCCCTTCTCTGGTTGAAGTCTTTCAAGGATTCGGAAGGTATCCTGGCGAGATGGTTGGAGAAACTAGAAGCGTTCGATTTCACAACTGTCCACCGTAGAGGTACTCAGCATGCCAACGCAGATGCATTGTCACGGTTCCATAGCCAACCTGCGGACAATTCGGAGCATCCTGCATCGGCCACTGCCGAGCCTTCAGTAATGGATCCAAATATTACTGTTGTCTGTCCTTCCCAGTCTTCCATTCCTGTCCCTACAGCCGTGCCATCAGTCTCTCCGGATACAGCAGCTGGTGATGCATTGACGCAGGATTCTGGACATCAAGCATACGTGGGTAATGTTGACGTTGAATCACAACCTGCAGAACATGCGAATGATGATAGCAATTTACTTGGAAGCAATTGGGCAGATTTTTTTAGTGCAGAAGATATTCGCAGAGCTCAAGCGGAAGACAGTGACATTGACTGCATGATTGGTTGGCAACAAGCATTGTTAGACAGGCCTAAACGCAGTGATAGTGCTATGAAAGGAGCATCATTAACCTTGATACGTCTGTGGAGTCAGTGGAAACGGCTGGTTCTGCAAGATGGCTTACTGTATCGTACGTACACTTCAGTAGATGGTAGCAACTCATTTCTGCAACTTGTTGTACCTGTCAGTTTGCGACAGAGAATTATGACTGGGATGCAAATGAGTGTAGTGGTGGCCACCTCGCTACTGAACGTACTCTAGAGAAGGTGAAAGCTAGATTCTATTGGCCTTTTATGTCGTCTGACATTGAGCTGCATTGCAAGGCGTGTGCGCTTTGTTCAGCTAGGCGTACCCCAGCACCAACCGCTCGCGCTCCGATGAAGGTGGACCAACCATCCTTTCCACTGCAACGTGTCGCTATGGACATCATGGGACCACTGCCCAGAACAAATCGAGGTAACCTCTACATTGTTGTGATTACTGATTATTTCACGAAGTGGGTAGAAGCGTTTGCCATCCCGGATATGACTGCTAGGACAATAGCTTCGGCACTGATTGATGGTTTCATTTGTCGCTACGGTGTGCCACTGTCTATCCACACTGATCAAGGTGCGCAATTTGAGTCAAATTTGTTCAAATCCATCTGTGAACTGTTAGATATGAAGAAGACACGCACGACTCCATACCA